AACTACTAAGGATACTACATACAGACGTCTGAAAGAGAATATAAGTTGTTTGTCTCGATTACAATGAGATAACAGATAAAAATAAAGGATAGAGGAGACGCCGGGCCTGCGGACGCCTGCAAGGCTACCTCGGGTCTCGCTGAAATGAAGCCTGCTCTCACACTACTGCTGCTGCTGCTCGAAACCTAGACCTGTGCAAAATAGCACAGGGTGTAGTATCAGCACAACCGACCCCATGTGCTGGTAAGTGTCTGGCCTAACCCCGGCGAGGTAGTGACGAGGCTAGGACCAGACTCCAGATAAACTTGTACAGATATATATACGAGTACAACAGAAAAATAACAAGAAAATAACAATTTAAGCTGGGGAAGGGAGCATGCTTCAGCGGTAACAGTTAGACACAAACTATCAGGAATAATGGTACGTACATCTACAGTTTAACTTCTAACAATAATGAAAAGATAAGACAACTTTCATATTCAACTCATCTTGTTGCAGGCGTGCAACCCGATCCTATTTCTCAATATCTCGTGGTAGGCGTACCACCCGCTCCCATTTCAATATCACTCGTGGTAGGCGTACCACCCGCTCCCATTCAGTATCACTCGTGGTAGGCGTACCACCCGCTCCCATTTCAATATCACTCGTGGTAGGCGTACCACCCGCTCCCATTTCAATATCACTTGGTGTAGGCGTACCACCCGCTCCCATTTCAATATCACTTGTGGTAGCCGTACCACCCGCTCCCATTTCAATATCACTTGTGGTAGGCGTACTACGCGCTCCCATTTCAATACAATGCACAATACAATCCCGACAAGGGAACAATCAAATTATTACTCTTCCCGGCAAGGGAACAATCAAATTAATACTCTTCCCGGCAAGGGAACTATAACAACAAGTCAAATATCCCGACAAGGGAGAGTCAGCTATAACCAATTCTATTCAACTTCTTCCTGGCACAACTAATACCAATATTTAGTCACAACGTTCATAGGATCAAACAAGGGTATACAATTATCAAATTAAGACTCACGGTCATGCTTGACACCGACGCATGGATACTCGTCACCATGCCCATACGTCGTACTCAATATAAACAAGTAGCAATCATGACTCAACTCTTAATCACTCAAGCTAGGGTTAAACCAAACACTTACCTCAATGCTTAGAACTCAACTCAAGCCTCAACTATAGCTTTACCCCGTGATTCCACCTCCAATCCGCTTGAATCTAGTCACAAGTCACTTAATTACTTTAATAAACACTAAATGAATCAATTTGAATGCATAAAAATAAATTTTTCAAAGTTTCCCAAAAATTCCAAAATCGCCCCCGGGCCCACGTGGTCAAAACCCGAAGTTCGGACCAAAACCCGGTTACCCATTCCCCCACGAACTCAAATATGTAATTTATTTTGAAATCGGACCTCAAATTGAGATCCAAATTCCAATTTTTGAAAAACCTAGGTTCTACCCAAAACCTCCAATTTCACCTATGAAAATCATTGATTCTAAGTGGAAAACATGTTAAATGATGTTAATGAGTGAAAGAATTAAGTAAAAATCGACTTACAAATGATTTGGGATGAAACTTGTTCTTGAAAAATCGCCTAAGGAGTTGTATTTTGAAAGTGGAGTGAAAAATGGCCTAAAATTATGAAAATTGCTGCTGCAGATATGAGAATTGCGAACTGGGGTTCGCAATTGCGAACCCCGACCAAATGTGGGAATTGCGAACAACCGTTCGCATTTGCGAACTCAGACCCATCAGGAGACCTTCGCATTTGCGAAAAAGGTCTCGCATTTGCGAATACTTGACCTTCGCTTTTGCGAAGAAAGTGGCCGCATTTGCGATCAAGCTGCCCAGGGCTCACCTTCGCATTTGCGAGTTCGCATTTGCGATGCTGGCTTCGCAAATGCGAAGCCTGCAGATCAGTGATACCAGATTTTCCAAAAATGCAATCCGACACCTATCCAAAACTCACCCGAGCCCTCGGGGCTCCAAACCAAATATGCACACAACCTCAAAAACATCCTTCGGACTTATCCGTGCGATCAAATCGCCAAAATAACATCAAAACAATGAATCAAACCTCAAAACTCACGATTTCTTTCAAAACTTCATAAACTTTCAAATTTAGAGTTTTAAGTCCGAAACACGTCAAACGACGTCCGATTTCAACCAAACTTTACAGAAAGCGCTTAAACCATATATAAGACTTGTACCGGGCGCCGGAACCAAAATACGGGCCCGATACCACAGTCTTTTAATTAAATTTCATTTTCAATTTCCTTAATTATTTCCAGAAAACAATTTCACACAAAAATTCACTCGGGCTTGGGACCTCGGAATTCGATTCCAGGCATACGCCCAAGTCCCATATTTTCCTACGGACTCTCCGGGACCGTCAAATCACGGATCCGGGTCCGTTTACCCAAAATGCTGATCGAAGTCAAATTTATCCAATTTAATATTAAAATTTAACATTTTTCTCACATAATTCATATTTAAGCTTTCCGGCTACGCGCCCGGATTGCGCACGTAAATCGAGACAATCCCAAATGAGGTTTTCAAGGCCTCAGAACAGAATAAGTAAGGAAACAAGTAATGACCCTTTGGGTCGTCACAATAGACCTCGTGAATCGCGGCAAACTAACGGCTTTTAAGTACTGAGAATTCACAAGGATGTCATTTTCTGGTATGGTTGGGTCATAATATATGAATGGCCCCTAAAATTGATCTCTATGCTTTTTTGCTTCAATTAGAGCAAACACGTGCCATCTCTGGACCATGCAGCACCAAAGCTCTATGTATTTTTAACCTAACCTCTGCTTTACTTTAATCACACGACTAACAACGGTTTCATAATTCATATAATAGTTGTGGACGATTTTTGTTAATAATTTATGTAATGCTAAATCTTTCATTTTCATTAGGACCCGACAACTGGAGGCCATTTTGGATAATCGTCCAATTATAGAATTTGAGGGTCAGAATTGATGTTACTCCTATTTTTTACCTTCTATATTAGAGATGTGGTGCTGGTGCTACGTCGACAGTTAATTTCCGACAAACCAACACTATTTATTCATTTATGGAAGTTTATTTGTGGATGCCAAACGCAGTTCTATAGCAGCATTATTGCAATCATATTAATAGAACAATATGGTCCACACTCTGTTCTCATCAATAAAGCATAAGGCCAAAAAGAGAAATCATCCAAAGCACCTCTTTATCTTTTTTGTAAATATTATACTTATTTAATATTTCGTTAATTCAAATAATTAGTGTAGATTTAATAAAATTACTTGTAATAAACAATTAATTCTTTTTTTTTAAATATCAAATATTTTAGAACAAAGCATGATAGAATTTGAATCCTCGTGTAAGGTGCTTATCAAGTGAGAAATCCATCTAACTCTTGTCTTGTTTCTTTTTATTTATATTTTATATTCAAACTCAATATTTTAAAGAATTTATTAAATTAGTTTATGTTTGTCGTTAATCAATAACGTCTCTTTTTTATCTGAAATCATAATCAACTAGTTGGAGTTAGGTAATATATTGAATTCCCTTATTCCACCTTTTCCGCATAAATTGGGGTCTGACACATAACTAATCTCGTCAACAAGTCCAACTTTCTCAACGACAAAATCATACCTAAAATTCCTTAATATTTTAAAATTCAAAAAGAAACCCCTAATATAACACACTATAAAAAGTTCTCTAATATTAGATTATTTTAATTAATATAACAGGTAACTCGCCGATTTTTAAGATTATAAATTTCACATTTTATCGAAAATTATTTAGTAATAATTTTTGAGCATTTTATACTGTAAATTTGTCTTATACCGTGCATATAATTTAAAGCGAATATAACACTGTATAGTTGGTCTCAAAATAATAATTAGAAATATATATATATATATATATATATATATATATATATATATATATATATATATATTGTATATTATATATCAAAATTATACAACTTTATATAATTTTTTGCCAACCAACTATATATTATTTTTGGCACGGCTAAAAAATGAAAAAACATTAACTCTAATAGCCCGTTTGGCCAAGCTGCAAAAATCAGCTTATTTTGAGTGAAAGAATTAAGTAAAAATCGACTTACAAATGATTTGGGATGAAACTTGTTCTTGAGAAATCGCCTAAGGAGTTGTATTTTGAAAGTGGAGTGAAAAATAGCCTAAGATTATGAAAATTGTTGGGCTGCAGATATGGGAATTGCGAACTGGGGTTCGCAAGACCAAATGTGGGAATTGCGAACAACCGTTCGCATTTGCGAACTCAGACACATCAGGAGACCTTCGCATTTGCAAAAAAGGTCTCGCATTTGCGAACACTTGACCTTCGCTTTTGCGAAGAAAGTGGCCGCATTTGCGATCAAGCTGCCCAGGGCTCACCTTCGCATTTGCGAGTTCGCATTTGCGATGCTGGCTTCGCAAATGCGAAGCCTGCAGATCAGTGATACCAGATTTTCCAAAAATGCAATCCGACACCTATCCATTAACTCTAATAGCCCGTTTGGCCAAGCTGCAAAAATCAGCTTATTTTGAGAAGTGCTTTTTTTCAAAAGTGCTTTTCTCAAAAGTACTTCAGGTGAGAAGCAGTTTGTGTTTGGCTAATTAGTTTGAAAAATACTTCTGAGCAGCAATTAGTGTTTGGCCAAGCTTTAAAAAACTGTTTCTAAGTGTATTTTTCTCAAAAGTGCTTCTCAAAAAAGTGCTTTTGGAGAGAAGTTACTTTTTTCTGCTTCTCCTCAAAAGCACTTTTTTTCCTTCCAAAAGCTTGGCCAAACACCTCAATTTTTGGCCAAAAATGCTTTTGACCAAAAAAAAAAAGGCCAAAAAAAAGCTTGGCCAAACAGGCTATAAGTCTCAAACTCACTATGTTAAGTAAATAAGTCCCCAGCTTTATTCAAATTAAAATATTAAAAAAGAGAAGTAAAAGGACAATAATCCCTTCTATAACACACCAACATTGTCAGTAATTCAACACTTCAATCACTCCACTCTCTTCTCTTTCAAACCCTACTCTCATGGCTTCGCTTCTTCTTCTAACTCACTTCCTCTGTTTCACGTTCACTGCAATAATCCCGATTTTCTCGGCGGTTTCAGCTGAACCGGCAGCTAAAACGTACATATTCCGAGTCGACAGCTTCTCTAAACCGGCAGTTTTCCCCACCCATTACCACTGGTATAGCTCCGAGTTCACTGAACCGGTAAACATCCTTCACGTTTACGACAACGTTTTTCATGGATTTTCTGCTTCTTTAAGTCCTTCTCAAGCTGCTTCAATACTTCAACATCCTTCAATTCTCGCAGCATTTGAGGATCGCCGGAGGCAACTACATACAACTCGGTCGCCGCAGTTTCTGGGTTTAAGAAACCAAAAAGGTTTATGGTCGGAATCTGATTATGGTTCTGATGTAATTGTCGGTGTTTTAGATACCGGAATTTGGCCGGAGCGTCGGAGCTTTTCGGATCTGAATTTGGGCCCCGTTCCGACCCGTTGGAAAGGTGTCTGCCAAACGGGAGATAAATTCACTGCTAAAAATTGCAATCGGAAAATTATTGGTGCTCGATTTTTCTCTAAAGGACATGAAGCTGCACCGGGATTTGGCGGAATTGGTGGTGGAGGAATTAATGATACCGTTGAGTTTAAATCACCAAGGGACGCAGATGGTCATGGGACCCATACAGCTTCAACAGCTGCTGGGCGGCATGCTTTTCGTGCTAGCATGTCTGGTTATGCGTCCGGTATTGCTAAAGGCGTTGCACCAAAAGCTCGTTTAGCTGTTTATAAAGTTTGCTGGAAAAATTCAGGTTGTTTTGATTCTGATATACTTGCTGCTTTTGACTCTGCTGTTGCTGATGGCGTTGATGTAATTTCGATCTCAATTGGGGGCGGAGATGGAATTTCTTCGCCTTATTATCTCGATCCGATTGCTATCGGAGCTTATGGTGCTGTTTCTAGGGGTGTATTTGTGTCTTCCTCAGCTGGAAATGATGGGCCAAATGGAATGTCAGTTACTAATCTTGCACCGTGGCTGACGACTGTTGGAGCTGGGACAATTGATAGGAATTTCCCAGCGGAAGTAATTCTCGGGGATGGAAGGAAGCTTTCCGGCGTATCATTATACGCCGGAAAGCCTCTGAATGGGAAAATGTATCCCATAGTGTACCCTGGGAAATCAGGTGTACTCTCTGCTTCACTCTGTATGGAAAATTCACTTGATCCTCATTTAGTTAGAGGTAAGATTGTGATCTGTGATCGTGGTAGCAACCCCCGCGTTGCTAAGGGAATGGTTGTTAATAAAGCTGGTGGTGTTGGAATGATTTTGGCGAATGGCGTTTCGAATGGTGAAGGTCTTGTTGGTGATGCTCATTTGATACCAACTTGTGCTGTTGGTGCTAATGAAGGTGATGCTATTAAGTCTTATATAGCTTCGAATCCAACTGCTTCTGCAACCATCAATTTCCATGGGACTGTAATTGGAGTGAAACCAGCTCCAGTTGTGGCATCATTTTCGGGGCGAGGACCCAATGGTCTGAACCCAGAAATCCTAAAGCCGGACCTTATAGCACCTGGAGTTAACATTTTAGCAGCATGGACTGATGCAGTTGGTCCAACTGGTCTGGATTTGGACAATCGAAAAGCAGAGTTCAATATACTTTCAGGTACTTCAATGGCTTGCCCACATGTAAGTGGTGCAGCTGCATTGCTCAAATCTGCTCATCCAGATTGGAGCCCTGCGGCAATAAGATCCGCAATGATGACAACAGCTAACCTTGTCGATAATAGGCTGCAGCCCATGACTGATGAAGCCACTGGAAAACCAGCTACACCATATGATTATGGTGCAGGACACTTAAATCTTGATCTTGCATTAGACCCTGGACTAGTATATGATCTTGCAAATGAAGACTATGTTAGCTTTTTATGTGCAATCGAATACGGTCCTAAGACAATTCAAGTGATCACTAAATCACCTGTGAATTGTCCAATGAAAAAGCCATTGCCGGAGAACTTGAACTACCCATCAATAGCAGCTTTATTTTCGACTGCAGCGAAAGGGGTTTCAAGCAAGACATTCTTCAGAACAGTGACGAACGTGGGTGACACAAATGCAGAGTACAGAGTGAAAATTGAGGCACCAAAAGGGGTGATGGTGAGTGTAAAGCCGGACAAATTGGTGTTCTCCGAGAAGGTAAGAAAATTGAGTTACTACGCGACTATAACGGTCGACAGTAAGAATTTGGTGTTGAATGATTCGGGTGCAGTGTTCGGGTCACTTTCTTGGATTGATGGAAAGCATGTGGTTCGGAGCCCCATTGTGGTTACCCAAATGAGCCCATTGTAGATAGTAAACTATCTTGATCCAGTTGTTTTGATCGAGATTTATGGGTATGGGAAAAAGATTAATGTGCTAATCACATAGCACATTATGTCCAACCAGTAGATGACTAGATTCTACACTAGAGTCTAAATTACAGTGGTTTTAACCTAGTTTGTTTTGGCTTTAGGGTCGAAAATGCTAGAATGGGGGTTATACTATAGGCCTTGTTTTTATTTATTATTTAACTTTTTGTATTTTTTTTCGTTTTTTTTTTCCTGCTAAGATATCAACAGGGGTTTCTGTAGGCCTTTAGTTTTTGCTTTTCCAATTGTCTGTAATGTCACAATGTGTGCTATGCTTATAGGAAGTATATTGTAAGATATGATCAATTAGCTTTAATGAAAGATCAATGTCTTTGCTTTGAAGTTTTGTGGTCAACACACTCAATGATGTACGAAAAAAGGTTGATTAGAGAGAATTTGGTCTTTTTTTTTTTTTTTTTCCTTTTGGTGGTATTTGACACCTAATATGTTTAGCAGATCTTGCATGTTTTACTATGTGCTTCTTAATTCTGTCTTCTATAGATAACATATCGTAGATGAAATGATGAATTACAAGTTCCAATTTTTGTGTGCAAAATAGGATTCAACAACAAATAATGCACAACACTGTTTCACTTCTTATACAAAAAGGAACGATTTGAGATAGTTGGACCCCAGAACAATAAAATTTTTGCCAAAAGGCCAGAGCAAAAACCAAACTCTTAATCAGCAGAAACGATATGGTCCTATTTGGCGCAAAGAGATTACTAGGATAGATGCGGACAGTCCGGATTATTTGCATCATTTAGCCTTTAGTTAGCTCACTCTTTTAAAAAAAAAAATCTCGTTAGTTTAAAGAGCTAAATTTCACGCTTAAAAATTGTTAGATGGACATTATTCTACTTAGCGAATAAATATAAGTCACTAGCCTAACAAGTGTCAAAATTTTAAAGAGCGGATTGAAAGAGGGCAATTTATGCAAATGGCATGTATTATTTTAAAGCATTAAAGTGGGACAAAATGGGTGGACAAAAAATAGGTTAAAATAGCACGGTATAGCCAGTTTTCGGACTGGTCATTCAAAAATAGCCAGCGTTTACCAAGTCAATGAAAAATAGCCACTATTTTGCTGCAGTAGAGACCGGTCCAGCATAATATACTGGAGTTCGGTGCACCTGTGTATGAGCTCCAGCATATTATGCTGGACCGGTATACTTTGCTGGCTCCAGTATAATATACTGGAGACTGGAGCACCGGTGCTCCAAACTCCAGTATATTATGCTGGACCGGTATACTTGCTGGAACTCCAGTATATTATGCTGGAGTTCTAGTGTACTTATGCTGGAACTCCATCATATTATGCTGGAGTTCCAGCATACTTATCTTGGAACTCCAGTATAATATGCTGGAGTTCAAGTATACTTATGCTGGAACTCTAGCATAACATGCTGGCGTATTTTCCGGGTTTTGAACAGTGTTCTCGCTCAGACTTATCTTTACACGAAACGTGGCTAAATATCGATTACTTTTGAAACTGGGCTATTTTTGAACGACCAGTTGTAAATCTGGCTATTTTTGAATTTCACCCAAAAAAAAATAGGAGTCTAAGTAAAAATAGGGCCTATGCAGGAAACATGTGGACCGCCCATAATTACTTTAGTGATCGTGATTTTAGCCCCAATTCAATTATTTGCTTTCCAGTATGTCAAAGTGTAATCTAAACAGAATCTCAGCGATTTATGGTTGAGTGACCTTTTGTATTACTCAATAATATGGAGTAACATTTACTTGAGAGAAGATTTGCCACTTTGTGATTTGCCTACTCCTTTCTTCGAACATGTTTTATTGGAATATTTTGCTATAAATTATCCGGTTACATTATTGTGATATAGGGGAAGGACGCTTTTTTTTTTTTTTTTTGGTTGTGCATATAAAAGTTAAATTAATGGCAGATGGTAAAAAAAAAAATAGCAGAGGTAAATGATGCTGCTATTAAAATGAAACTTTAGGAGATTAAGAGAGAGAGAGAAAAAACTATGCAAATAGTCAAAATTTATTTTTCTAAACTGTGCTGTTGAGTGAAGAGAGTTCAAGAAAGGGTTGGTAAATTAATTAATGATGTACTGGAATTAATGGGAAAAATGATGTTTTCGTCATTAATTAGTATTAATAGCTGATCCCTGACTTTGTACCTAAAAATTACAATGATTTATGACAGTACCATGGGGCTAACGGCAATTTTAGCTTGTCGACTTTGATAATGAAGCATACTTTTATCTCGTTTCCACTGGTAATTTCTGATACTCCTATTTGACACTGGTTTCTCCCCCGTAACGTGGTTCGAAGTAGGTTGATAATTACTCCCTTCCGTCCACAATAAGTGACCGATTTGCTTTTGTCACGTCTATTAAAAAAATACTAAATTCTATACTAAAATAACTAGTATGACTAAACTACCATTAATTAAATATTTAATGTGAGGAGTAAAAAAATTTTTTAGGGATATGTACGTAAGGATAATTTTGTAAAAACAAATCGAATTCTTTCTTGATTATATAAATGGACACTTATTTTGGACCAAAATAAAAAAGCAAATTGATTACTTATTGTGGACTGGAGGGAGTATATTAGTTCATTTAATTTTTGTTAAAATTTATACTACAATTTAAGAACCTATAAAAGAGTAATTATTAAAAATGGCGAATTTTTTGAGTTAAAATGTTCGGACAGATTATAGTAAAATAAAACACCATTTGACTCTTAATTTAAACCGTCAAAGTGTCAATGGGATGGATGAAATATACTTCTTGCTATGCAAAAAAGATTTAATTATAGGAAAAATCCTTTTGACCACACCGATTTCGGCCGGATAGACCTAAATGGGGTCATTTAAGTAATTTTACGCCCTAATTAGTGTTTCAGCCGAATTTTTATACCCAAAATGCCCTTTCAATAACCTTTTGAATATTTCTCTCCCACCATTAAATATTTGTCTTCCCAATACATGAAAGATCTCAAGAGTTCAAACCCTATTTGTCTTCCCAATACTTTTTTTTTAAATGTATTTCCATCCTTTTTTTTTGGTAGTATATACACTCATATAATTCGAAATAAGTCATCTTTATACATGTATTTAATTGTGTATTTCGTATATGTTTAGTATTTGAGTGTATATTTCGTATATTTTTTAGTAGGTCTTCAAAGCCCTACTATTTAAACACACGATACCCTACTTAACAAATCCTAGATGGCCGGAACCCATACTTAAACAAACCTTCATTTAAACTCCTATGTTCTTCTAAGTTTTAGATGGCCGAAACCCATACTTAAACAAACCTTCATTTAAACTCCTATGTTCTTCTAAGTTTTAGGTAATAGATTAAGGATGCATTAGAAGAAGAATAGTGCTTCCAAAGTATATGTTGTATTTTCTGGTAAAAGGCCAGGAATATACTACTCATGGAGTGATGTTCTCCTATGGTTATCGGGGTTAAGCGTAGCATCTTCCAGTCTTTCAAGTCTCATGATGCAGCCATATCAGCGTTCGATGAATTTGAAAAATCTGCTGAAGGTAAACAAACACTCAAATCTATGGTGTTTGTTGTTTTTTGTGGTAAGAAGCCGGGAATATACAAAAGTTGGTCTGAGTGTGTTAAAATGCTTGTTGGAGTCGAAGGTAGCTACTTTCATGCTTTCCAATGTTATGATGAAGCCTTAGAAGCCTTCAACAAATTTAAAAAAATAAGTTTTTCACAAGAGGCATCTTCAAGCTCGGCAGTTGAAGAAATGAAGAAGTGGTAACAAATGAAAGTGCAGCAAGTGTTATTTCATCTGCTATATTAGCGGGCATATTTATTGGGTTGAAGCTGTCTGAAAATGTTGGAAAGTAATTATGTCAATTTTAGTTCATATGTTATATATCTTGTGTTTGAAAAGTGTTTGTTATTTCTATTTGGTGTGCAAGAGTTGATGACTTTGTTTTTACTTTTGAATATCAAGTGTCGTAATGAAGTTGGGCATGATTATTTTATGTTCAATTTCTTCATTATTTGATTATCTATGAAATTCGAATTTTGTGACTTCTTTAGCATTTCGATCATGTTTAACCTTTAGTGTGATCTTTGTCCGGTTAATATGTGGTTTATGAATTATGTAGATTTCAAAAATGTAATAATAAACAACATTTATGTATTAAATATTTGCAGCAATCAGCTTAGGTGACACTTGGAATCCTTGTTGATTAAGCTTTCTGGATTAGTTTTTTGAGGAAAAAATAATTTGTTTTAGAATGAATTTTGGATAACATTATTTTAGTTTCACTAGAATTAAAACAGGACTTTGTGTTATTTAATTTTCTGATATATTTGGTCTAATTTTTGTAAATAAAGAGCAACAATTTTGTGCTGGTTCTAATTTTTTTCAATTACATGCAAATAATTCTAACTTGTTACTTGTAGAAATTTTGTGCTGGTTTAATTTTCTGAATTAAAGCTTTTGAAACTGGTTAAATTCTTTGAGATCTACATATTTTGAGATCTACATAATTCACAGTGAAGCTGAATTATGCATCTTCTTTCGTTTTGATTTTCTGAGATATGCCTTAATTTTTTTATTAATTTAGTGAAATAGAAATTTCACCTATACTATGTCAGTATTATTGTTATAGTTATTCTTCCTTAAATTTATTCTTTTAATATTAGAGTGATAATTTTTATATTGTTATAGATATGCAAAGTGACCATATTTTTACCTAAAAAAGGTATTTCTTTTGGTTCCATAATAACATTAACCAGGAATTAAAGGAAGCACAAATATTTTAAAACATGTAGCAATAAAATAAGAATCAAAAGTATATGAAACAGAATAAATACTAAATAAGCATTTTCATTGATTAATTGATAATTTTCAACATATTCCAAATAATATTTGGAAAATACTTTAGCATACCATGCTAATAACATGGAATGCATCACAAAACAACAACAAAAAACACAAACTATTACTCTTCGCTCTTTTGGTTAACAGACTTTGAAACCTTAGAAGCGGCTTCAGTATCACTACTTATAACAATCACAGGAGTATTGGGTTCTTCATCTTGCTCGGCTAGAAGTTCCTCAAGCATGTCGTAGCAGGAAGTGAGCGGTTAAGAATCAAGGAGAAGACGTTTAACATAGTCTGCTCCGATTTCCCTTGTGAGATGTAGCATCAACAGGTTTGTCTCCGTCTTCAAGTTCTTCAACTTGTTCTTAACATCCTGGTACAAGATGTCATGGTTGACGGGTGAACCATTGTAGAGGTTCATCGACAATTTTCTTAGAAGGGGCTCTTTCCATTGTTATTTTCAGAGAAATTTGAATTCTAAAAGATAATTTGGATGAATGAGATTAATTATGTATAGAGTTGTATTTATAGTATAATTTTTGAATTTTTGAATATTAGGGTTAGGGTTTATACAAAACAAGCAAAATTTCTTCAAAATCAAAAAGTTCTACACCAAATAAAACAACAATGCAATTAGGCCAACTGAGAACTCCAAGTTTCAGCAATATTATTCTTTATTATATTTCCATGTCTGGTTCGGCATTGAGATCAAAGAAGCTTGATTGCGATTGTGTAGCATCAATTTGCTGCAATTAAAATCAAACAAACACTATAAGAAAACATGATATGTTTAAGTACTAAATCAAATGTAGTCGCAAAATTATACCTCATTCACACTTAGGGAACCATCATGCTCAACGTTTGTACCTCTGCCTTGCCCATTACCCTTACCCCTACGTCCACCACTTCTACCGCCACCTCTACCACCACGATTTCCACCAATCCTGCCACCACCCCTGTCACCCCCTCTAACACCGGTTCTTGCGCCATTACTAGTTCCAAATACATCACGCGGCTGTGAACATGTAAAGTAGTATTCAATTCTTCCTCTATATCGATTCAAACTCGGCCTGCCACGTGAATTAGTGTACTGGGGATCTCGTAGAGTTGTGCCTTCAGTTTCATCTGATTCATCCTGGTCTTAGTTTGGCACGAACATTTCGTCGTCCCAGTTTTGAAGATCATGCACCATCTTCTTCAAATTATGCTTAACATATTGAACCTTCACGCTATTGCCCAATGCTATATCACAAGCCATGTCAAAATACTTCAATATGCTCATCTATGTCTTATACTCAGGCGTCATGGTTGGGTAACCAACTTGATGGAACCGATTCAAGTGTGGCCTAATAACATCGTTTCTCCACCTTGTCAGTATATACCTTTCATCAATTTAATGCCCTTTGACCTGTATTCCGCTTCCAACTCTTTCTCATGCTTAGCTCTTATAGCTAACTCATACTGGTGAACAAACATCCTAAGAGTGCTTTGACGGGTAATATATCCATCAAAGAACGCATGCATCCCCTCACTTCTTTGCGTAGATAGCATACCAGCCCAAAAATTCACATCAAGGTACACTGGAACCCATTTTTCCTTCTCAGAGTAAAGCTTGTTGAACCAATTCCTTGTATGCAAATTATACCTTGCAATATATTCTGTCCATTTTCTCTCAAAAACTTCAACAATAATGCTATCAAGGACCATGAATTTAAATTCTCCACGTGCAATTTTAGAAGGACGAACACCACTTAAGTAAACAGGCAACTTTGAGAATATATGCCAAATACAATACCTATATTGTATTTGGCATCACTTCAGCAATGGCTACCTTAATGCTCTGACACTGATCAGTTATGATCGCATCTGGATGAACATTTTCCATGGCATCAAGCCAAGTTCTAAAAACTAATTTGTAAATATCGATATCTTCATGAGACATGAGAGCACATCCTAGTAAGATGGACTGTCTATGGTGATTGATGCCAACAAATGAAGCACATGGTATATTATATCGATTCACAAGGTACGTCGTATCAAAGCATATCACATCATGGAATTGCTCATACGCTGTCTTACAGTGTGAATGCACCCATACCACATTTCGCAGCCTACCAATATTATCAACGTCGATTGAATAGAAAAACTCCCTATCCTTTACCTGGATTTCACGAAAAAAGTTGAGCAGCGACTGTGCGTCCCCTTCTTGCATTTCAAAGTTCCTACTCTTCAAAATATAATTTCTACAATCCTTTGGAGTGCAACCCAAATTTTGCGGTCCACCACGTTGAACCTCAGCAAGTCTAATATTCTTGGAGGGTCTAATGCCATACCGATCGTGAGCTACAAGATCCCTCTTCAAAGAATCACAAACAGACCTATGTCCAGCCATCAAGCGCGATACGGATGGGAGCAAATCATGATTGTGATCGTGAACGACCTTAGAGACCCACCAACAACCAGAATCATCCAAAACAGCAGCTAGCCTAGCTTTACAATTGTTACTCTTGGTGGTAAACTTGATTTTGCGAATCCTAGTCCTATCACAACAGTAGGTTATATACCTGGCAGTGTCACCACCCTTCTTGTTGGAATTTCTTTTTATGATGGAGAATCCTCTCAGTCGTGCATGTTCTTTGTAGAATGCAAACAAAGTATCTTTATCTCTAAATCGCATTCCAGAGATTGGACCTACAACCACATCCTCTTCAGTGGATTCATTCTTTATTTCCCGATCAACATCACATAACTCTAACTCATTTCATAAAACCTGCTCCTCATCATCGTTAGCTTCTCCGTGATATTCTCCATCGACTTCTTCATCATCATCATCATCTAAGTGCATATCATTATTGAAACTGCCGTGAGAATCAACATCGACCCATTCGTATTCATTCAACAAACTATCGTCCGATGCCATCCCTAAAGATCTGTACAACTCGTCCCTAACTCGATCAAACCTATTATCTTGGTTGATATTCATGGTTGTTGTATTTGTGTTATGTTCATTTGGATTCATATTTGTTGCACCGCCAATTTTTCTTGGTTTGAATCCATTTTTAGAGAAGGAGAAAGTGACCGCTGGTTTAGGGATAGGCAAGGAGGAAAGTGTCCGCTGGTTTAGGGTTTGGTAAGGAGGAAGCATACAAAATTGTATACCGTATTTGTTTATAAGAAAGGAAGAAAATATAATAATTTGTTAAAAATTAAAACACGTATAATTTGTATAATATACACATAACTACAAGGGAAATACACAAGACTCTTCATCTCCCAACATTTAATTTTTGCATACTTCAAGACTTGGAATTTAATTTTGTGTTTTGGAGGGAAACATGTAGGCTAATTAGTTAGAGGATTATTTATGTATTTTCACTGGTGTGGCCAAAGTTGGGTCATGCCAGTGTGATCGTTTAGCATCTCCCTTAATTATATACAATATAAAGAATATTTAATGTGATTGTTTGGTTACATGAGTTACTTACCCTCTTTTCCAAGTAAGTAGCTCACACTTTTATAGATGTAAATGTACTTTGACTTCTAAGTGGCATGATAATTTTACTTTACTCTGTGAATTGAGGTGTACAAATTCAATCTTTCAGTTCATCTAAGTGTCTGGACATAAAGTAGTTCCGTTTTACATGCATAGAATTGTACTTGGTATTCAAATTGTTTACCCTTAAAATAGATAACAATTAAATTTGTATGCAATTTAAGAAATATGTAGCTTAATTAATTAACACAAATGATCAAAGAACAGTAATTAGTTGAATTGAAATAAGATGGAATGATCAAACAAAAGTGACGCAGTATTAAGCCTTGCGTTTAGCTTAGATGCTAATGATCGGTCTCGATTGAGCCCTAGAGATAGAGCTCGGATCTGAATAAACAAGTAAATAACTGAAGAACGCTTAAAATGACTGTTGAGAGCTAAAGTAAATTTTATTGCCTTGTTCGTGAAAAAGTGAGTCCGAAAAATGAAGGGGTCCTCCTCTTTATATAGTAGAGGGATTTAACCCTAGCATAAGTCTAAATAAAGTAAAAATCTTTTCCTTCCTTCTTTCCACAAAAATAAAATCCGCAGCCAACTGAGCGTGATCTGCGCCGCAATATCCGGTTGATGGCGGATATTTCGGCTTCTCGTTTGTCTCCTTCAACAGCCTTTCCTTTACCCTCGATTCTTCATCTCACTCGAGCTTGATTCGCTTCGGGTTCGCCGTGCTCGAGACCCGTTATATCATTCGTCCGTTCGTGGTTCCGATCTTTGGGTATCTTCGGGCTCACAGAGCCACTAACAAGTAAAGTCATTCCTCGTTTCACAACGAAAAATCAGAAATAACTCTATCCTCGATTTTACCCGTATAGACAAATAACATAATAATAAGAAAAATCTTTACACATGTCGATGTACATAAGTTTTATATGACTAAGGTAAAGAAGAATCCAGAACAAAAAATTATCTAGTATCCAATAGTGTGACTGTGAAGAACAATTTATAAAGCTAAATGGAACGCACGGTTGAAAAATAATGCCGATTTATAGTTTACTATATACTTTAACAACTTACAGGCTCAAAAGGATAAAAATAAAATGACAAAAAACTGGCGATGCCATTTATGTATGCTGCGAACATATAAATTAAAATGATACATAAAAAGTGGAGTATATATATATATATAATTTTAACATCTGGTTTATATTTTATTCAATCATAGACCATATAGCAATTTGGGTAAGCATGCCAACATATGCCACGTCCTTTGCAAGTCTTCAAGTGAATAATAACATTTGAGTCTGAATTGCTTCGAAATTTTGCAACCATGTCAAAAACTAGTGCTAGAAAAACCAGCAACAGACTAAAATTTGCTGAGAAGAAGAGTAAGAGGAGAGAAGGAAATAAACTGCCTTTAAATATTGTATTGAAATAACCTAGAAATTGTAACAACTTGAAAATTGTGATATTCATTGCCCACAAAAAGTTCCAATTGGATACTAAAATATCAGAAACTCTCCTTCTCATGGCTTTGAATTAAACAATTCTATGACGTCTTTTTATGTTGAAGTGAAGCCAAAGAAGGTGCAATATATTTATAGAGGTCATGGACTTAATTAGTAATATATATAATTAAACAGAAGGCTAGCTTGTTCAGAATTAGCTGGATTGCGAAACTTCTGGGGCAATAACAGGAACACTGTCTAATCGTTCTGCATTTTTTCCTTTGTCATTAATAAGGGGGAAATCTTAGTTGCAATACCAGTATTAAATGTTTGACATCTCCCCAAGATAGGTGATACAAAATTAAACACGTCCTTAAATGATATTCTTAATAAAATTAGATTTATAATGAAATGTCATTTGCCATCAAACTTGCTAAAAATTAAGATTACATGTACTCATAACTGTAGGTATAATTAAAACTGAGAAGAATTTTTTGATTGAAAAAATACCTACTTAGTTATATATATATATATATATATAGANATTTTTTTTTTTTTTTTTTTCTTATGTCGTTAGGAATTAAAAATAAAATTTGGAGATTCATCATTCATGCATTCTAAGTTAATACTTTGATATGTTATGAATTATATCAGAAGCCAAGTTTTTTTTTTCTTTTTTGTCTTTTTATTTTATCACACGTTAGTAGTAACAGTATAAGTTGAAAAAGAAGAGGTCACAACCTTTAGACATTTTTCTCTTAAAAAAAATAAAAAGCTTCTTCTTACTTCCTTTGTACGTGTGGGGGAGTGATACAATTGGCTAATAACTTATACAAGTAATTAAATGCAAGTGAACAGTTTGTGTAAGAATTGAAAAGAAGCTTTTGGAAACTGCTTCTTTTGGGCATTATCCAGAAAGCTAGGGAAGCGGTAGTTAGCTGTTTGTCGGAGAAGAGAATGAGAAAAACGATAGTCGCCTAGTCGGACATGAAACTCAATTAGTTTTGCGAATGTTAATTTAACTCCATTTTTTCGTAAAAATTGCACATGGCGCCCTATTTGGTCGCCCCCATTTAACCTATACCCACTTTTTAAAAAAGTTTTAACTTGTACCCACTATTTAAACAACTTCAGACTTCTTTCTCCTCCTCCTTCTCCTCCTTCGTTTTCTGAATGGTGAATGCTCAAGATTGAGATATTGTTATGCGTTCTAGCCTGATGATTTATATATATATATATATCTGCTTGTCCCATTATGTTCAGTTTGGTCTTATTCACAATAATTTAACCTGTTAGATCTTTTAGCTTTACAGGCACATTCGTTTTTTGTTCTAATTTATCTGTAGTAACTTGTTTTCATATCGAAAATATTTTTCATTCTTTTTTAATCTTTGAAATGAACAACATCAATCGCTGCTAATCATGATTTATTAAATTCATTGTTGTTTAGCTCCTAGAATGCTGAAATTCAGCAAATACAAAACAAACTTCAGCCCCGAGGTTCATCACAAACAGAACAAAGCTTCAGCTAAAACATGCCGAAGTTCAGCAAATACAGAACAAAGCTTCAGCTACTAGAATGCTGAAGTTCAGCAATTACAAACAAAAACTTCAGCCTACACATGCTGTTGTTTTATTGAACTGAAGTTTGCCATTTACACTATGAACTGAAGTTTGCGTGATTGCCTTTGCAAGTCGGGCCAAACTTCATGCAAAAATATCTGAAGTTTTGCTACACTTCAGGCAAAAATTTTTGCTACTTCAGGTCCGTATGCCTGAAGTTACGCGAAAAGTGGGTACGCTTGCAATTTTTTTTTTGCAAAGCGGGTATAAGTTAAAACGTGACCCAAAAGGCGGGTATAGATGCAAATGCCTCCATTTTTTCAGACATAAGCATTATTCAAAACTCATCTAACGGAAAATTTTATTTTGTGTCTCATACAACTGACACTAGTTGTATGAGGCATTTTTTTGTCTCACAGTTTTATGGATCCAGATTTTTGTAGACCCAGAAATGTAAGATTGGGGTCCACAAATTTATGAGACAAAAAGGAGCCTCACACAACTAATGTAAGTTGTGTGAGACACATAATAAAACTTCTCGAATTTTAAATTAACAAGTTATATTTATTCAATAATTTTTTAAAATAAGTATTATATATGTACTAAAGTTACTGAGTTTGAAACCCGCGACTGTAAGACTAGCTCCGCCCATGATGACGGTTCATTGAGTAAGCCACATAACTTGTAGAGGAGAAGCCGGATGCTAATTGTCTTGTTACAAACTGAAAATCATTATCAAAATTGGGTTATTTACAAGTGCGATTCCATGTTTTAACTTCAACTACGTGTAACAATAGGTAACAACTATTTAATATCACAATGTGAATATTAAATTTGACGGAGGTCTCTGTCCTCGTCGTAGAGGTTAAACTACAATAGTACAAATCCTTAATCTAAAGATATCCAGAAAGTAACACTCCAAAATTAGCAAAAAATACAATAACATATTCACATCCACATATTAAGATAGGCCGAATAGTTAAAGACCCCCTAAACTTGACGCTTTTTGGCGAATGTACACATTAACTATTCAAGGTTCTAATTACCCCCTTCAACTTGGTTTTTTGAAAGTTATTAACTCCTTAACTTGTTGGACCTTAGCATTGTCCATCCACGCGCAATCCATATGAAATTTTCATCTGATGTGGATGTACACAGTGCCAAAATAAATTATTTTTTATTTAATTAAAAATTTAAAACTCTAATAAAAGATCAGGGCTTTTACGCCATTTCAGTGGCCAACTTAAATCCGATAAAGAATTTGGTGGAAGACTCAAATGGGTCCTTTCAAACTCAAATAAGTTTTAAATATAACTCCGTCGGAAGAATCCGGCGAAGACTCAGGTGGAAGAATCTAACTCAAATCAGTTTTAAGTAAAGCCCCGGTGGAAGAAACCGACAAACCCAACCCAAATGGGTCTCAATCACTGTTCAAATGTGTCCCACATGTCGGGATTAACACCATTACAGCGGGTAGTGTTC